TCGGAACGTCATGCCAGCCGATCAGGTTGAGGAAACGTTTCTCACGCCTCATTGTGCTCGATGTGCTTGAACGCACACAGAGTCCTTTCAAAAGTCCAGCTGCTCACCTCGGCTTTTTATCATTCTTAGCTAAACTACATAAAATTAAAGCCTGATGCAACGGAATTCAGGCCCCATTTGGTCTGCATTACTGGATGGTGAAATGTGCAGTTGGTTGGTCGCCGGCAGAGCGCTCATGGACTTCGATACGGCTGGGAAGTGGGTGCTAACAAACCGATGTGGTTTTCTGCACTAGACACGCTGCCTCTGCCATACTTGTTTACTTGATTTGGCTCAAAATCACCATAGTCCACAAGGTCAAATAAGTTTACCTAATCAACTACTTCCTTCTGTTGAAACAATGGGTCTGCGAGTGTATTTTCAACCGCATTTTGCATTCATCCGTAGGAATGATATATGTTTACTGACTAACAGACTTCTGTCTTGTTGGATTTGGGCACAAAATATTGGAAGACACACCAAATTTGTATTAAACCACCCTGCCATCCATGGACACCGGTTTAGTCGTTGTGGATGGCATCACTTACTTCACGATGATACATTGAAATTTTTAAGTAGCTTTTAATAAGTAGGAATTGAATGGTCCTTGTTTAATCGTTTCATTAATATTTTAATTCTGTTGAGCATATGTTGTCGTTTCAAACAATTTTGGGGAGTTGAGCTTACTGGGATGTTAGTGAAAATGGCTTAACTGCCAGCATTTGTGAGCTTTTGGAGACTCTCTGGCTTACACATTAGTCATGCATTTAAGAGCAGAGACTTTAACTAAAATCCTCTCCATCATTCTGTTGGGAGCTGTTGTTGACAAATCAAAATTAATCTGTTGGTTTCCAGGAAATTTGGTTAATTCGAGGTTTTAAAGACTCCATACCACAAGAAGCGTTAACGCAGACCGTTGCTTTGATCAAAACTTGAACTAATTTAAGCGATTCCTTTGAGCATTAATATATGCCCATTAGTAGATGCACGGTACAGTCTCGCACTCGAAAGGCGTCTGCAAAGACGTGAATTAAGGACAATGCCGCGTTTGTGGGTAGTGATCCTGTTTAAATTCATTTTTTTGTTGATCGCCATGCTACTTTGTTTTATTAGTAGCGAATGTGCTGTTCGTTTAAAGAAAGGCACTTCCCGTCATTAGGTTGTCTGTTTAAATCACGCGTCAATCAATAGTCACACGGTGTCTTAGCGTTATGACACTTCACCATAATGGAAGGCGTGGTCAGCGAACCGTCTGCGATTCCACAGTTTCATTCTTCGGGAAGTTTTCGCGAGGTAAAACAAAGTGATGCAGAATATGGCCTCCGTAAATGTCTCACGACTATGAACTTGGCCACTCCTGAAACGGACCGCTCTGATACCCTAATTGATGAAGCGACGTTTTTAGAGCTTTACAAGCGCTTTGTTGATCAGCAGCATGAATACATTGACTGGATGGAGATTAAACAAATGGACGAATCTCAGGTGAAACTGACGTTGATGAATGTTATGATAAACCTGAGTAGCCACGTAGTACTCTTCAGCAGACATAAAAGTAGGCTAACACTCTCAATGAATCTTCTAATATGTCTGTCATTCTTTCAAAAATTTGTTAAATTTGGTGATCCCTCATCATTTAATTCTCAATGGCACAAGCAACCCGTAATTAGTCATTTGGATACTGAAATTAAGGTGACAAGGTTTAGGAGTTGAAAATTGGCTAAATTATCCAATAGGAAATACACGAATAACCTTAAAATTCTCTTTTATGCGTAATCTAAATACACTCCCACACATCTAAGTCTATTTAACACATAAATATCTGTACTATGGGATAAATAATCAGGGTAAACAGGCATAAGCAAGGTTAAGCAGTCTGTAATTTTCTTAAAAATGGCAAACAAACCGATAGAATAGTTAATTCGTGTTTACTACTGATAAAATACTTAAATAAATCTAAGATCATTCAAATTTAAGGAGTACTGTCTGAAGGTGGTCTTGCTCATTCGTTTACCGCGTGCCAAATTTACCCCTATCATACATTAGTCGCAAGTGCATGTGAGTAATTTGAGTTGCACGGGTCTCTCGCGTTAGCGCGAAACCTCCCAAATTGACACATGTTTGTTGACTGCCGCGCATTCGGCACTGTACCCAGGTAACATTCGCGTGCTGTTGAGGGCAAATGCACGCTCAGCGTGGACCTCATCCACCTCATCCTGCTTACCCTCCTAGGGTGCAAGCGTTTGGATGGTTGGAGTTCTTGTGAATGCCCGTGGGTGTTAGGCTGCCCAGACCATTCACAAGGTTTGTGGGCAAGATTATGCGTGGCAGTTGTTCCGCTTTCGTCTAAATCATTGATAATCTCGACTTCGAAAATATCAATGACGAACTTTCACTACAGTTACGCCAAGTGATTGGAAGGTTTAAAGCCAGTGGTGTCATCAAAAACCCCGATCAAGCGTGGGACATTGACGTAATAGGCCTAAACGTAGTCAGACACCACATGCATGTCAACAGTATAAAACCGACACTCAGGACAAAAGGAAAGCAATAATCATTAAGCCCCCTTCTCTTACACGGATGAAAAATTTTGCGATTCCACAAAACAATCAAAATCCAGTGGGCTTTACTGAACTAAGTAAAGACATCACCTAATTAAAGTGGACCTCCAAAGTGTCCCGTAACAGTGATGATTAAAAGACGTCTGTACCAAGTTAACAAAACCTTTCATTCGCCAGAAAGGCATGGCGTGTCACTGTGTGCGTTCAAGCACATCGAGCACAATGAGGCGTGAGAAACGTTTCCTCAACCTGATCGGCTGGCATGACGTTCCGACCGCTCTTAAGCATCATAACCAACTGTGCAGCACTGTCGGAAGAGCTGTGCTAAGGCCCGAAGGACAGTCGCTCTGCATTATTACTGGCCATCCAATTCGCTAAACTTGTAGACCTTTTGAGTGTGCACTTCCCTTCTGTGGATGCCATGAAATAGTCTTGAGCCTAGAGCGGATCTCATGTGAGACCTGTGTGATGTCGCTCATTGCCCCCTGATGGGCCCAATTCCACACCTTGGCGTCGATACCTCGTGGCATTGTTCTTTTCACAATTCACTCGTTCATTTCGCCTGCCCAATTCAACCATCCTGTGTGATGTGCGCTTCAATTCACTCCAGTCATTGGCACATTCCGTTGTCCGGGCTGCGTGGCAGAAAAGCAATGATCGACCTGCATTCAGCCATCAGTGATTGCCATGCTGCAGTGTTCCGCCTTATTAGGAAGACGTACACGCACCTCTAGTTCATGGAAAATTCCAAATCGACTTCAACACTGCATAGAGGCGTGGCACACCTCCTAACCAACACGACAACTCAAGTGACCACGTTATCCGGCTAGTGTAGTTTAAATTGCACATCGTGTACTTCCAGTTTATCGATAAGATTGAAATTTGGAAATGGTCCGTGTGTGCTTGTGTGCCTTGATTGTCCGGTCTTCGTCCGACTCCCCAACTACAAATGTGCATAGTTGAGGAGGCGTTGTCGAAAGTGGTGTGCATTGCTCCAAATCGTCTCATCATTGATGGCGACAAGCAGGAGGGGTGTAAAGTCGACCAACCGACGTGGTTGTAAACACGACAGTGCTCAGAACTGCGTCATTCGGCAAACTTCCTTTGCGAGGGCAAAGTAGTCGTGACGGCCAGTGCACAGGGAACAGCGTCGATTATGCGCGCTGAAAGATGTTTGCTTCGTTTACCGCTCTCTCAATGCCAATATACTCGAATGGCTTCGTTCCTGTCATCGCTCTTAATTGTTGTTCACTTACGCGATCACTGACGGTGAAGGGTTGTCCTAGCAAAAATGCCGTCCCCTACTGATGGCATGAGCGTGATTAAACGGCGGTTTGTTGCCAGAGCCTGTGCGAAGCGTGGTCTGATGTGCTGTTGACGAAGTATGTAGCCCGCACAATTTCGTGTCCTTTCAGATCAGAAACTATGAGGATATCGGCATGCCTGAGGAGAGGGACATCATCAATGGCCTTTCGCACCTGGTGGTAGTCAAGTTGAATGGGGGACTTGGCACGAGTATGGAATGCTGTGGCCCCAAATCACTTATTTCTGTTAGCGATGAGCAAACATTTTTGGATTTAACTCTACAACAGATCGAGGTCAGTTGAGTTCATTTTCTCACAATTCCAATTTTTACAACGCCCGGTGTCTTATTTGGCTGCAGACAAATGAATTTCTCGAGTAAACCCTGACTGTGGCCATTGGAAAAATGTGCAGATTCTTGATTTCTTTCGATGTTACAAAGCAAACACAGAAAGTGGTAGTGATGCTCAGTGCAGAAGTGATCCAACGTGAGAGCAAGTGAATTTTGTACTTGTGCTGGTCATTGGGTGACCTCAGTGTAGTACTGTAAAACAGGTCGATCAAAACATAGGCTGTGCCAGTTGCTCACCACGTGCAACATCCCGATTAAGGTGCCCAGTAAATGTTATTTCGTGAAATGAGGCAAATAATTTGTGAGACGCGATTTCGTAGGAGACATCAGACTCAACGCAGAATCAACTGGTGACCACACTTTCGGCCAGCAATCTGTCACTTTAGCTCGCTGCACACCAGTGCCGATTTGTTGAGTGGAGCGTAAAATAAGGCACTACAAGCATCGATGTTGGACCCTTCAGGCCTAGTTAGTCTGATTGTTGCACATCAGGATGCAGTTAGTGCGAGTGTCGTTGAGGGAGATCTGGAAGGAGAATGTGAGTGCTTGTGGAAGTGAGCAGTTGCGAGGCCCCAGACAGTGGGCCTCAGTGGCTGGCGCGCCGGCTGGTTGAGTGTGGGCGGGTGGTGTGAGTGGATGTGTACAATGAGCGCGGACTTGCATGCCTGTGGAGCTGATGGACATTCAATTCAACGCGTATGACAATTTAGACGTGATGGAGGTGAAGAGTTAATTAGGAGTTACATTGGCCGAAAATAAGCCTCTGGACACGAAAGCGGTGTCACCTTGAGAGTTTAGCGTGGCACCTTTCTGTGGAGCATACGCGAGCACCAAGCGAGAAATCAGTGCGTGTAGATGGTGACTTTATTTGGACCCACGTTGGAAGTTGAGGGCAGTACCATCTAAATCGTGGAACACCTCCAGTACACTCTGCCACGTGGTTGCAAGTTGTACACTCTCAAGCTTGTATGCCTACATTTTCACTACTTTGTTACCAACTGTGTTTTCACCATGCTCAATTGAACATTCAATTTAGAAACAGTCTACTGCTGACTTGGCATAATGCAAATTAGTTTTGAGATTCATTGTGTGGTTTGCTACAGATTTAACGTAGTTCGCAGCTTTTAAGTAATTGTGCCTTGCTTTTTGGTATTAATCGGTGTCTACTTCGTCGCCTTTCCTTTGCAGACCCTTAATTCAAGGTATAATTTGGATATCCCTTTGGTCTTGATGAATTCTTTTAACACACAACAGGATACTGATGCGTATTTGAGAAGAATAACGAAAATGAATGCTAAGATATATACTTTTGAACAAAATAGGTATGCTGCTTCTGCTTGATGCTGAGGCGGTTTTATTCAATCCGCGATTTTGCAAGGTGTTAGATCAAATGGTGCGGCAGCCTGCCTACTTTAATATTAATTGCATTTGGCTAGTGCTGTGCGATTAAACAGCCTTATTTGATACGCTAATGGCGCTGTTTAGATTTTTTAGAATTTTCATTTCTTGAAAATATTTCGAATTCTTAGGTCCATGTGACGTAAATAGGTCTTCAATAGCCTCTACAACAATCTTATTCGATGTTGAGGTAGTGCTTAGACCGAGTTTGATTTATCCGATATATATATATACTTAGGCTTAACCAGGGACTGGCAAGTTTTAAAATTCATTGTTTTTCACAGGTTTCCAAGACTAAGTGAAGAAACAGGCCTTCCGTTCGCGAAATCAATGCAACTCGAAAGCCCTCATGATCCTGCTTGGTACCCCCCTGGACACGGTGACATCTACCGTTGTTTGGATGAATCAGGTTTGTTAAAAAAATTTATAAAGGAAGGCAAATCGTGGATGTTCGTCTCAAACATCGACAACCTTGGAGCTACACCCGATCCAGGTAAGTCGAGAAAGTCAATACCAAAAGTAGCATTCTCTCCATTAGTGGCATGCCAACTAGACGTCAGTAAAGCATCACCATCCTTTTAGATAAAAAATGATTCCCAGTCAATAGAGCGTGAAAAGCCCAACGGATAGGCCCCACCATGCGAAAAATAGTCGGCGTTACTTTATTCGCCTGGTTTGTGAAATTCTACGTTCGTGAAGGACCCAGACAGCTACCTCCACAGTACCGGGAATCCACCATTTTATGATATTAGCCAGGACCACAACAAATAACCACCTCTGAGTTTCATGGTGCCCCTGTCCCACGGTTTCGACTAATCAACAAAGGCAACAAGTGTTCTCAGAATAAACTGAGGAACCATCTGCTATGAAAGTTCCTCGCACCTCCGGGTTTGGGTTATGTCTTACTGACAGCGGCCTGCTTTTGGGCCTTATTGGCTAATTGCTTGAATCTCTTAAAACCCGTTAATTTTCCCATATAGTGAAAATCGACAAGATCTCGTTTAGCTGCCTTTACGCTTATTGTTTATACTGAAATTTTAAAGGCAAACCTGCCGCTGTGTTATAGTCATTCTTTGCTGGCTGGAAGAACAAAAAACAGTAAACGGCCCAAATCAAGCTGATTTCGTCATGGAGGTTACCGCGAAAACGAAGGCTGATCACAAAGGTGGAACACTGGTCCACTACAAGGGTGAATTACGGTTGCTTGAATTGGCACAGGTGGGCAAACCAAACGGCATCTGATTGAGTAACAACCATTAGTTGATGTTGCCTAAAAAAGAGTGAAGTAGCTGACCGCTTTCATGATCTTGTCAAAATAATTTGTTCCGTTTTCTTCAATTTTGGCGTTCTAAATATCACCGATTTAGCCGTAAGTTTTTCGGCGAATTTGTAATAAAAGTATGCGATTTTAGACTAAGAGTTCATATCGCCCATTAAATAGCCAATGCAATGCAATCTTTTGGAGCTCAAAGCATTGAGTCGACTTCACAACGCATCGAAACTTGCAGATACGAGGAAACCACCAGCATCGTTAATTAACTTAAGCAATTGGATCCCAGGAATTCGCTCCTGGTACTAAAAAACTGAACACGATGAATAAAGTTAAATTGGAGGCTGCAAGTGCCATTCTCTTAATCAGTGGCCGGAAGCGTCTTCGGTGAAATAAATTGCCGAACCCCCCAAATTCTACGCACAAAACCATCGCAATTTGCTCAAATCTCATCTGTTGGATACAGAGCACACTTTGCTGTTGTCTAGCGTCGTAACTTTGAATTCACGATTCATTGTAATTAAAAAACTGTAGTGCAGAGCTTGAACAGACTTTTCAGTATTCTTTAAGCGTCTATCGGTTTTACTGAATAAATGTATATGTGTCCCTGTGTGATTCTATATTTAGGTACCGAAAGAACACATGAAAGATTTTCTCAGTCCAAACAAATTCAACATATTCAATACCAACAATCTATGGATTAATTTGGAATCAATGAACTCTCGAATAAGGACCAAAACGCTACAAATGGATCTTATTGTTAATCGGAAGGCTCTGAAGAACGGCATGAGAATAATTCAACTCGAGGAAGCGGTAGGAGCAGCAATCCGAAGCTTCAAAAAACCGATGGGTAATAGTTTTAGTATCGCGGGCTCAGTCTGTTTCATCCTTGGTGAGTAAATTTTGTTCGTCTTTTAGGACTGAAGGTCCCGCGAAGTCGGTTCCTGCCTGTAAAGAAAACCTCAGATTTGGTTCTCCTTAAGTCCGATTTATTCAGTTCATCAGACGGGAATCTCATCATATCTCCATACCGCAGCATTTCGACACTGCCCATTGTGAATCTAAGCAAACACTTTCAGAGTGTTCAAGATCTTCATCAGCGCATTCCCAACATCCCAAGCATGATCGAGCTAAATCACCTGACTGTTTTCGGGGATGTTACATTCGGTAAAAATGTTGTGCTAAAGGTTGGTTTGTTTCAGTCTCGTTTCGAGGTACTTGTCAAACGAATCACCGCTTTTATCACTAATAGTACTGACATTGGTTATTCGCTAATCCATTTTTAAGTACACGATGTTTTCAAGACAAGTTTCCTGCAATTCGTCTAAGTCGCGGGTGATAAAGGTATAAATTCCAGATAATTTGACAACGTAGGATTTTACAACGCCACGGTAAATTTAGGCAAAATGGGCAAGGAGTCTGAGCAAGAACTCAGTAGGTATCCGGAAACCTGCGGGACTAAAGCGGCCGAGATCTATGCCGTAAGTACATGAAAAGCACCGTTACACCGCAGGTCTGAAAAGCGGTAGTTGAGTTAAGCAACTTAAGAAATGGCACCACTTCATTTATCACAGAAACTTTAGCTCATCTTCTACTGGCTATTGCAGGACGTTTTTTAAACAAATACTTTCCATAGCATCCTGTGATTGGTAAATGGTACTGAAATTAGATCAAAGTATGAAAAATACACAGTGAATGCATTGTTAACAGTTTATTGACTAGGTACATGGAACGGTATTTTACAATCGTAACATAAAGGCCTTCACGCCCAGTTGCATGCGCAACGCATGAAAACTCTTAGGCCCTACATTTTTGCTTTCAACTCATCTAAGTTATTGTTCAAATTATTTAAATTCAGCGAATGTTTTCAAAACCCAAAGCTGATCTCACTGCCTCAGGTACTTACCTACTTGCATGAATTTCGTCCTACCAAATACTTTTTGATGTGCATTTGTCTGTATAATTTCACAAATAAATAGGGCTTTTCTTTTGTATAGTTGAGATTTTTGAGTTAGCTCCCCTTTATCAAGATGAAATTGAGCTTGCGGGCCAAGTAGGAAGCAAGCTATGGTTAGATGAAACTATGCGATTAAAGATTAAGCACACCAAATTCACTCAAACTTATTTAAGCACACACAATTTCGTAGGAGTTGTCATACAGATTCCATTAAATAACTTTCTGCCGTAAAAATTCCGTAATATCCTCGATAAATTGCAAGAATAACGAATTACGTGAAATTTTTATTTAGCTGTTCGCTATCGCTTACTCCTCGCTGCAATGAAAAATACGCCTTCGTTTGTGCTTAAATTTCGATCCCCTTCTGTTAGGTTAAAAGTGCATTCGTAATTGAATGTTTGCAACGAATTCTTTTTGACAAGAATTAAAATTTTGTGCTTTATAGGGCACAGTAATTATAATTGCTCAGGACAACGAGCACATTGACATCCCCGACGGGTCGATTCTCGAAGATCAGGTAGTAACAGGAAATTTGCGGATAGTGGATTATTGAGGTTCCCTCAGCCTCCACAGTTCACAGTTATTTTGCTAAGGTGGAGAAAATCCCTCCCCTCAGCCACAATTCGATGCATCAATTTCTTCGCTTTTTCCTTGGAAATTTTGCACTATTTTTGTGTTATGCAATCAAATAAAAATAAAAGCAGGAAAATGAACTTTTCGGGGCGAACGAAAAGTCCTGTTTGTCCCCAATGAGGAATGCTTAGTTCATAAATCCTAGCATCTGATTTTGAAAAATAATCAGGTTGCTATGTTGTTAATTCAATGTTTGTTCTTAACGAACGCTCTTGCTTTCAATTTGACAAGATCACTAGACCCTTAGTTTTACCAAAAACGAGCAACTAAGTAGAATCTATGGTGAATCTATCGGAGGCCTTCGTGTAAAGGCCTGATTCGTCTGTGGCTTGTGAAATCATTGTGCGAAACAATTGCAGGTTAACCAGCCCTTTGTGCGTAGATTTGACGCCATTGGAGATAACGACGCCACCAGGTGTTAAATGGCGTCATTTCAGATGATTAATGCGAAAAGTTATGCCTCGGTCGCATCTGGCGTCGGAGGCTTTCCGGGCAAGCGTGTTCCGTGCTCGTAAAAAACGCGCCACCACCATCACCCCCCCGCGCAGACCTCGATGCGGGGCGCCCAAAGGCTGTGCGCCCGCGCCGTGCACCCAATTAACCGGCCCGGAGGTGTGTGCATTCTAAATGCTGGCGGACAGTAGCACCAGGGCCGATATTTCGAAAACCCGCCAATAGTTGATTTCTGCACACGTGTGAAAACATTACATCAACTTGTCTTGCGGATGCCAAATAATGTAATCTTGCCCCATTAAAATAAATTTTGTCAATAAGCCGAATGGGGCAGAGTCTGTACAGGTTTGTGCCTAACGCCATATCCTACGATCTATACAGAACCAAGCGTGGGGATTTGATATAAATTTTCATTTGTAAACCCGTTGGGACTAGCCAAATTGGCAAACGAAAGGTATAAAACGAGCAAATGTTCTATGCACGGAGAGGATGTCTTCCCTTCCCAACATCACGTAACTCATGGACAACTGCCAAATCATCATCAGCGTCTGCCTGAACTTTAGTGCCTAATGATCTAGTGAGTGAACAAGTGTGTGCTTCACTTGCAAGTCAATTTGTCAGTATCGCTTGAGAACTGTAATCTTTTTCTGTTGTAACGGGCTGATCACAACAAATCAGTTACGTGGTCAATGCAGATACTGAGGAATGCTTGGTCTCGAAGCTCTCATAACTACCGAAAGAAGGTCACTAGTCTACGTCACTTTGGTCACCATTAAGTTCGATAATGCAAAAGATTGGGAGATTTGTGTGCGTGTTTCCATCGTCTTTTTTTGCTGAGTAAATATGATTATGTGTTTTCAGAGTGAAGTGGGAGCAATTAATGGAGTGGTGTCGTACTTAACTGACGACGTTGATTGCACGGGCAATTTGCCTGTAGTTGTGGTGGAAAATCAGTCAGGGACTAACTACGCAAGGCGAACAAATGAATGTCTATGGCAGGTCGTGTCACTGCTAACGAAACTGACGCAGCGGGTTCGGGTCGAGGACTAGAGACTTGTGGCCACAAGCGAATTTCCTCGATCTGCTGGCTACTGCGCAACACCAAAGGAGATGTTGCCTGTGGCGATTCGGTTTACATCTTGATCTAGAAACTGCTTCTTCGACGTCTGAGTTGGCCATAAATAACAGGCAAGGTGACTTATCACAAAAAGTCATGGTTCAGATGCCCATCAACAGTAATTGTACCTGCCACCAAAATTCAGCCCTCCTGAACACTTTTATGTGTAAACGACCTGTTTAACTGACATTTAATTGAACCTAATACCGCCGATTTGCTGAGAAAAGGTGCTGTCTGCTGATTTCAGGCCCCTTAGTTGAAGCCAATGGAAATGATTGAGAAAAGGACATCTTGATTGTGCCAACTCAACTGAGCACGTTTGAATACATCCTCCTGTAACGGTGGAAAGTGATTACTATGACACTAATAAAATTTTGTAAATGCGACTGTATTCAAGTGTATATGGTTAACTGTGTTTAGGTGTGGCTATTTTCAATAATATCGGATGATTATAGAAGTTCGTACCCTACTTGAAAGCAAGCTAGGCGCAACAATTTTTCACGAAAAACGGTATTTTCTGCTCGACAGTGTAGTTCATAAGTTTCTGATACTGGCTAACCTCTTTTTACAAGTTTTTGAATCCCTTTGCAGAACCTGTGTGGTTTCTCTTCGTAATTCGTTTTAGACTTCAACCATGGATTCAACTTCTTTCCATTCGAATTAATTTTGTGAAAAACAAAAGCCGATGAATTTTCTGAAGGTTCAATGCCATGAGAATACATCGGAAACTGGAGGACTTCTCATTTTAATTTATTCGCCTTTTGCAGTGTCTGTTGAAAATCATGTTTCCGTAGCTATGTCCTGGAGAAATGTAATGTCTCTTCGACTGACCGAATTCGGACTTTTTATTTGGATCCCAACATTTGGCTGAGTAAGTTGCTCACAGCATATCTCCACAGTTATTATTTGGCGACCTGGGGAAAGCTTTAATAAAGTGGTCATTTGCTATCTCCTCCCACCACGTAATAATGCTTTCATTAAATACGGTCTGATTCTGATCTTTCACTGACATAATTTTAGCCTGTTTTTTTTTCCTTTTTTATTATTATTCTTGTTCATGATTTGACCTAAGAAAGGTTTGCTTGGTCTACGACTGAAATGGGAAATGGCTGCGGAAGTACGGTCCAGTTTGTTGCGTTTTGTCTAATTTACAGAACCCATTTATCGAATTTCGAAGTGTGTCAAAGTTGCAAAGCGCACTTGATAAGTCTGCATTTAGTCACGCGGGAATCGCCTCTGTGTTAATCAGTGTGTTGGAATTCAATAAATCACCAAGTGAATCATTGACATGTCAAAATATCGCTCACAACGATGTCCATCATTTAGATCAAATTCACAATTTTGAAATCACCTACACCACTTTGTAACTGGCCTACTAGTAGGAGCATGATTTAGACCAACGTCTTGTAAATCTTCTGCTGTAGTTGCTTGTGTTGTGCTCAGTAGCCGATGGGCTAAGGCTATTTAAAATATGCAATAAACAAGACCATAAATTAAAGTGGCCAACCTTGGGGAAGTCATGTAATGCCCCCTAAGACCAATTTGCACCCGTCGGTTTTGGACCAGACCCCCAGCTCAACGGCTCAGATTCCTTCACACACGTTTAAAGGCCGCAATGCCAATCGCAGTGTTGTGGCCGTTAAGTGTGGCCACAAACTTCAACCTCACCACGAGTTGGGCAGTAACTCCAATATAGTTGTGTGTGGACATTAGCATCATTTAAAGTGTCAGCAACACGTGCCACGCAAAAGTGAGACATTTCACTCGTCACTGCGATTTTTACGGCCTCCACCGTCGATCCGACAGTCGCTGACGGCTGGGTTTCTAGAGTCCAAGTGCGCCCGGCTGATGGTGGATTGAAGGGCGAGGCCCAGAGACGTCTATTGAACGACTATTATACATCAAATTTAAGTTCTGTGCACCTAGAAGTGGGCAAAAATGTACTGATTTTATCCCTGGGATCCACAGAGGAGACGAATTTCGTAATTGATTGCATAGAATTTCGGACTTTAGAAACAGTTGTTCATTTTCGGTTTTTGAAGTCGGGCACGAAATCCACAAAAGTTCCCACAGAATTACACCTCCATTAGCAACTCTTTCGTAGTCCAAGGTGACGGTGTTATCGTGCGAAGATTCTAATTTTGCTTCACTTATTTTTGAATACGTATCCTCACCTACTAGTCAAACAAGCACTCGCAGAGGTGTTTCGATTATGATTCACGACTGCCTGTTGCCCACGGACATTTCCGCTTATTTTGGAGAGCTTCCATGGCAAAGAATTTAAATTCATTTGAAACGGTGATTACGCATTTTTTTAAAACGAGTGAAACCCTTAGCCTAGATTTGAGGCATTCCTGGTGCGAAAGCTGCTGCATTCACACAAAAGAAGACCTTGTATTTTCTTGACTTGGTTTCTGCAGTCCGAATTGCCATTCTGGCTTGGCTATCACGTGGGCACCACCGCCACCGCCATTACCACCACCACCACCCGATCCATCTTTGCTTTCGTCGGGGCACGGGGGACACAACAGATATTTTCCAGACGGGTCACGTGTTGACGGCTCAGACGGGGTGGTAAAAACTTTAGTTGCTGTGGTCAAAATTACTTTCCCAATCGCATAATAACTTTGCTAGCAAGTGCCTGATCCTTGCATCAAACCAACTCACTTAAGTGTTCGTGCATACGCTTAACATGCTTAATAACAAAACAAGCATTGTGCCGGGTTCGACAGTTTGTGTTAATCGTGATAAGTTCACTTCATTTAGACCGATCTCATTTCTGGTGTTAGTGACTTTAAGCGAAACTGTTATTCCCGTGTATGTACTGGGTGCCCCAATCGACCAATCTTTTCAATCAGTCATGGTCAAATTCAGTTGAATAACGAAAAAATATCATGGAGCAGGATAGATAGTAGTTTAAAAATTATTAATAGGATTGAAACTACTATTTAATTAGTCTGTAAACACCAAATTAGTTTAAAATCGGGTAAATTAAATTCCTCATCGCCATTCAGCCCTTTCAAACGGGATTAAATTGGATTTACAAACTTGTGTCTCGGTGCAATAGTGATTCGAGATCATGTAGGACCCGAAACCACAAAAGTTGGCTGCTACTCTCTCGGGTGTGAATCAAGCAGCAGCCAATGTGATCGTCCACGCAAAGCTCCTCCGCCAGCTCTTAACGAATTTCCCCACTTGAAGTGGCTTCACTTATCATTCTTTTCGGATAGGACGTTGCCTGACTTCATAAAAAACCTTTGTGTACAACCATACTTTCGTCCGACATCCTACCAATAATCTCCAATTTGTCTGTTTTACGGTTAGGTGTTACAATCAAAAGTTCACCTTTC